TTTTCCTTTATATTAAGCTTTGTTTTAGTTCCATGCGTTCATTGATGGTTGAAATGGTGACGTCATACATTTGCGTGTCGAAATACTGCAAAAACACTAGGTCTTGGCCATCTACTCTAGTGGGAAAATATTGAGATCCGAAGAGAGACAATGCATGCCACATGGTGAGATCATCAAAAAATGTGTCAAATTTGACAGTTGACATGGCTCTACCAAATAGTGAATACATGGTGGCAGGGAATTATTGTGAGTACTTATTGGTCCACCGCCGTGTGTCGGTCTTAACCCTTCGCAAGGCCCCATGCCCTTGGCCCTTGGGCCCCTCTTGCAAGTTGTAATGGTCTAAACTCAACAGTTTGACCCCTGGCCCCATCCCCATGGTCTCATCACAACTCCCTTTAGAAATATGTGGAGTTTCGAAATTGATAGTAATAAATCAATAAATATTTGAACTGGGAAATTCCTNGTATGTTGCAATTCTCAGGTATGTTTCTATCATCAAAACTTCACTGAATCTGAATGTTAGACTGATGCATAGGCATAGGGAAATGTATTTGAAGAATATGCTACTAAATTGTAATGGAATTTCATGAAGGGAGATTCCTTTTATTCTGAGAGGGCCATTCTGGAAAATTGGGCTAAAACCACATGTGAATGTGGCTTTTTGGCAAAAGTGTGCAACTGTCCATGGCAACTCCATGCTTAGGTAGCTACAGACGTACAGTCAAATTCTTGTGTTAATGGCTGTTGCCTTATTTCTCTCAAGAAAAACTATACCTAAAAACCCTAGATATATTCAGGCCTGCAATTTTCATAAATTGCTCTCAGAAACAATAGATACATTGTATTTGCCAGCTATTTATAAAAATGCTGCCCTTAAATTCCACTTATTCCAGGTGGAACTGAGAGGCATTATGCATGCCCACTGCATACTGGCTTCTGACCTGTATGGGGGAAATGAGAAGTTGGTTATTGGACAATCAAACTGTTTATTTATGGGATTAAATTAGTAACAGTTCGAATGATGTCTTGAAGTATAAGATCAGACCTTATATCTTAATATTTCATCTCTTTAATGCATGTTAGTAATTATGTTTGACAATGAAAACATTTTCTCATGAAGAATTTTGATGCACTTATATTTATTCTTACTTTATTTAATATATATTCTCAAAATTAGATTATCCAGTGGTAAGATTCCTAAAAGATTGAAAATACGTCACTTTAGAGTTGCAAGATTTAGAAAATAATTTGTAATTTTCCAATCTTGATTGCCTTGGGACTAGATCTTCTCCATGCCTAAACCAGACTGTCCACTAGGCCCATATAGCTAGAGATATTGGCATCTGCTCAATCTGTCATCTCAACCCTAGATTAAAATTTTTATTCATACAAATATTTTGTTGCTGCAAAATTGCTAATTTGTTCTCATATGAGTTTTCTTATGTATGAAATCTTAAATCTTAGCAAAAATATTAATGTGGAGGTACCATTAATTTGTGTGCAGGTACCATCATTCCCTTTATTACCATCTTTCTTATGAGAGTAAAACATAGAAGTTACTTTTACTGCATTAATGTCAATATAAATGTATGAAATTATTTCATATGGATATATGTGTATATTATCTATCTACATTCAGGATTTGTCTAAAGTTTGAGTTCAATTGATTTGTGGAAGATTTTGGTGTGTGAAAGTTTCATTCCTATTCTGATTTTTTGACTTATCTACGTACTGATCAACTCGGGTAAAGAGGCAAAATTTTTCATAAAGATTGTTGGTTTTGTGTTTTAAATTAACCAACCACATTTCCAGTTGCTGAACCACTGACTTAGAAGGCCTCAAGATGCCAGCTGTCAGAGGAGATGGCATGCGAGGCCTTGCTGTCTTCATTTCTGACATCAGAAATTGTGAGTTGGAAATATCTTCTATTTGAAAAAAAGTGCTACCTATGCATACCGCAAGTTGCATCTGATCAACGTAGGTTATTAATCTTACCCAGCAATGTGTAGACTTTAGGTCCAACCCTGCAATGTGTAAACCTTTGGTCCCATCCTGTAAATGTGTGAATTTTTGGTCCCAACCAGTAAATGTGTAAATTTTTGGTCTCACACTGTAAATGTGTAAACATTTGGTCCCATTCTGCTGATGTGCTAGCTCCTTGGCTTAGTTGCAATTTTATTGAACCTTCAAGTTTTTGAACCTTTGATTCTGCTCTGAAAATCTTTGAATTGAGGTCTCATCTTGGTTATGAGAAGCTATTGTTTAAGGTCTTGTATGATCTGGATTTTAGGTTCTGCCTTGCCTTGTATAGTTAAAAGCACAGAGTTGTCATTTGATTTCAATTTAAAATAAAAGCTTCTTGGGGTGGGACCTTATGCTTTTCAATTTCTGTATCTTGGATGCAAAATGCAATTTACAAGATGAAAATTATCACTGAACTTGAAATTTCTGGTTATTTTTACTATTTTATGATGGTACAACAGTATACCTATGTAAATATAAGAAGAGTAGGTAGTACATATATGTTTAAAATTGGTCATTTTCTATTTTTTATTTTTTTACTTTCCTGCTAGCATCTCTAAAGCAATGATTTCTATTTCCTCACAATATACCTTTGTACATAAAAATTTGTCTACTTGCCAGGCAAAAGTAAGGAGAATGAAGTGAAGCGGATCAACAAAGAGCTTGCCAATATCCGGTCCAAATTTAAGGGAGATAAAACGCTTGATGGATACCAAAAGAAGAAGTATGTCTGCAAGCTGCTCTTCATTTTCTTGCTAGGCCATGACATTGACTTTGGTCACATGGAGGCTGTCAATCTCCTCTCTTCCAACAAATATACTGAGAAGCAAATAGTGAGTGTCATGTGTTGTGTTGAGCTTTCTTGAAGCTAACTGTTATAGTTGTTTGTTGAGTGCAAACTTTTTACTTATGCTGAAATTTGATTTGATAGTGAATAGTGATTATAATTTCTGTAGCTGAAATATGAAGTTAAATGAAATCTTGAGCAAATTTTTTTGATAAAGTGGTCAGGAAATTGTTTAATTTTGGAAATAATATTCAGCTAAATTTATTTGATAGTATATTTACAATTTATGTAACGCAATTGCAAAAATTAGGCTGTTCCATAGGGAATGTGGTAATTATTTGCTGATTTTATTTTCCAGGGCTACTTGTTCATCTCTGTGCTCGTGAACACAAACAGTGACCTCATCAAGCTCATTGTTCAGAACATCAAGAATGATTTGAACAGCCGCAACCCTGTGCATGTGAATCTTGCCCTCCAATGCATTGCCAATATCGGCAGCAAGGAAATGGCTGAAGCTTTTGGCCACGATATTCCTAAGCTTCTGGTATCAGGGTGAGACTAAGGCTCAATTTTTGGTGGTTCATTGACTACCACCTATACTAGGGTTTTTGAGATATAGATTTAGTTTTTGGTTGGAAATTATTTGCTATCCTGGGTACCATAATGTTTTCAGCTTCTAAATTTGATATGAACCGACAGAAGAGAGCAAAATAGAAATAAAATATTTCTGGGGGCCATTAGGAAATGAAGTGAAAGAATCTGCAATTATGCGTATAGTTAATCATTAAGAAAAATCGAAATTTTGGTAACATGGTGTTTATACAGAGGAACAAGATCCTCTCCAATGCAACTTAAATTTTTCTCAGCACCAAGCAAATTTTATGAATGAAGTGCATTTTTTCTTGATTTTTGTAAAAAAATATTACAAAATTTTTCAAGAGATTGATATTTGTGGAAAATATTTTTTGCTTTTTTAACATATGAGTAACCATCAGTATTGATTTAATAATAATTTGTCCAAAATCAAATCAAACAGAGAGACCATGGACGTAGTGAAGCAGTCGGCTGCGCTGTGTTTGTTGCGTCTCTTCCGCACAAACCCTGACATCATCCCAGGGGGGGAGTGGACGTCCAGGATCATTCATCTGCTCAATGACCAGCACCTTGGTGTTGTCACAGCTGCTTCTTCCCTCATCGAGGCTCTCGTCAAGCTCAACCCTGATGAATACAAGGGCTGTGTCTCTTTGGCAGTCTCGCGTCTCAGTAGAGTGAGTAGATCAAATAAGCTGCAGTTATGTGTTCATACCTCAGGAAGTAGGCTGGAGACTTGAACTTCGTTCTGCTGGTGCCAGCCTCAAGTTTCAGAGTGAGTAAAGGAAATACCCGGCAATTGTGCGTTCAAAACTCAGTGGGTTGGCTTGAGACATAGGCTGCGTGTCGTGTTGCCTGTGCAAGGACTACGTCCCAGAGTGAGTAAAGCAAATAAGATGCAGTTGTATGTCCTTGCTTCACAGTGGATTGGCTGGAAACTTGGGTCCTTGCTGGTGGTTGTTTCATACCTCAGCAGATTGCATACAGTATAACTGGTTGTGATCAGCTGCCTCTTGGATTAATTTAACTGTTCTTCAAGAGCCCGAGACAATCAGTTCTCTTTGAGCCCAAGGCAATCATTCTATTAATTTGTGTGAAATTGTGCCACATTCATGTTGGTTAAAATATTTCTCACCCTGAAGTAGCCTAAGGAGTTGAAAAATAATGTGTCCTTAAGACCATAATATTACCAATGTACAATTATTCTGTTATAGCATGCACGGTTGGAGTACGTTGGCCTGGAACCATAATTATAAATATCCAGCACTCACTCCTCATTCTCACTCTTGACAGATAATCACAGCAAGCTACACGGACCTACAGGACTACACATATTATTTTGTGCCGGCACCGTGGCTCTCCGTGAAGTTGCTGCGATTGTTACAACATTACCCGCCCCCCGAGGACCCAGGCGTTCGAGGCAGGCTTAATGAGTGCCTCGATGCTATCCTCAATAAAGCTCAGGAACCTCCCAAGTCTAAAAAGGTTTGCCTTTTCAAGTTTTTGTTTGTTTGCTAAGAATGTTTTGTGATTAAATTGTACTAGAATAGGGTAATTGGTTGCTCATTAATGGTGGTCCACAACTTTTGAATTAGGATGAAGTTTACCTTTTTTGATATCTTTACGTGTGCTTCCCAAAAGAATTAGTTTGTTTCATCATTTCTCCCAATGTTTCTTTTAGAATAGAGTGAAGTTTTCATGAAATATCCCGGTAATTAGTTCCACTATAAAATTATTTGCTGGTAGTCATCATGGTTTCAATTTTGTCAAAATATCTTTTCTCTTCCAAGTTCCACAAATGACTGTGAGCAAAGCTAGTGATTATTTGTTGGTCAGGTAGCCCCACTGTTTTTTGGATGATGTCAGTTCACATCTTTACAATTTATTCATGGCAATGTACTGTATTTTTTTAGTTGCGTCTGATTAATTTCTTCTTTTCCAGGTCCAGCACTCAAACGCCAAGAACGCTGTTCTGTTCGAGGCAATTAGTATTATCATCCATTCTGACAGGTTAGCGCCTTATGATAGCCAGGGTACTGCAATGTCTTCAAATGTTTCAGTTTAATTATTTGCTTCAGGAATCTATCACATAAACTTCAGCTTCTCTAGATCATAACTACTATTATTAAAAAAAAATTTGTCTTGTCTCAACTTTTATAACGACCATTAAATACCATCTTGTCTCACCTATATAAGATAAGCTTTGACTATATACTGATTCCCTTCCAAAATTTTCGTTCTCAATATCTGATCAAAACATTAACGATGTTTGTTATGGTCAGTGAGGCTGCGCTGCTGGTTCGAGCCTGCAACCAACTTGGACAGTTTTTGTCTCACCGTGAAACGAACCTGCGCTACCTCGCCCTGGAGACCATGTGCTTGCTGGCCACTTCAGAGTTCTCGCACGAGGCGGTCAAAAAACACCAGGAGACGGTCATCAACTCTCTTAAGGTGTCCGCTCTCAACTCCCGCTTATTTGTTTCTCCTTAACCTCGTCTTTATCAATACGTAGTGCGTATTTGCGTCTCCTTAATCTCTTCCTTATCAATACATAGTGCCGTCATGTGAATTGATGACGTTTCGAGCGTGAGGACGGAAAGATACATCTTGGAAATGTTTAGTTTGCTTTTTCGAATCACCCCTAAAATTCTTATTAAAGGCTAACTTTATTTGAATTTATTTTTGTGGTAGCCATCGTAACATATTTGACGTTGCGTTTGAGATTCACTTTGAATGAAGGCTTATAAATATGATCCTGATTTAATAGCAACTTTCTAATAGAAGGCACACTATTTGACATCTATTCACACCTATGTTCGTTTATTGAAGCTATTCACAAATTGAATAAAGCTAAATTATAAAAATTCAGTTGTTTAAGATCTCAAAGTCTTATTTCAAGTATAAGGAAAAGAATCATTTTCTAAATTTGGAAGGAAACTGGGAATTTACATCATGTGTATGAAAACCAAACTTGAGAGAATAAAGAATATAATTTTTTCATGGCAGACTGAGCGAGATGTAAGTGTGCGGCAGCGCGCCGTGGATTTGCTCTACGCGATGTGTGATCGCACCAACGCCGAGCAGATCGTACACGAGATGCTCAACTACCTGGAGAGTGCCGACTACTCCATCAGGGAGGAGATGGTCAGTGTCTCGTAGTTCAATTATCTGTACATGTAAGCACAATATCGAATTCTGCTTGAATTATCCGTAAATGGGATCACAATATGTAATGCAAATTCACTTATCTCTGTATGATATCCCAGTATTGCAATGTACATAGTTAAATTATCTGTAAATGAACTATAAAATTCTAGTTAAATTATCGGTAAATGAAAGACTAATCTCAGATGAAATCATTTATATACTTCAGTTAAGTTAGTAATTTTTCATAATTGAACTAACTTAGTACAGCTGAAGTGAATAGTTTATTATCACCATGCAGTTCGTTCTGCACTCGCCCAGTCTGAAAACGAATTTCTGTCTTCATGATCCAAAATTAACTTCAAATTTATGTTTCTTTCTACATAATTGGTTGCTTAAAATTAAGTACAGAAAAACAATGCGGTAATTTAGTCAACAAGTTGATTACTAAAGTGTCTGAAACTATCTTCAAAATTCCCGTTTCACTCTAGGTTCTGAAAGTTGCCATACTTGCGGAGAAATACGCTGGTGACTACACTTGGTACGTGGATGTGATCCTGAACCTGATCCGCATAGCCGGAGACTACGTGAGTGAGGAGGTCTGGTACCGCGTCATCCAGATTGTTGTTAACAGGGAGGACGTCCAGGGATACGCTGCTAAAACCGTCTTCGAGGTTAGATCCCAGTCTACTCAAATTGAAATCAGTTTATGATGTCTAATTCATACGAAGTTTGAGTTATACATATTTTGTCGTGGCTAGCTAGAAAAGTTACTGAAATTAGCTGATCAAGAAACAATGAGATTGATATGTAAATTCATTTTTTATGGTGATTCACAAATTCGTGATAAATTCATTATTTGATGATGGTGATTCACGAATTCGTGATAAATTAATTTTTTGATGATGGTGATTCACGAATTCATGATAAATTCGTTTTTTGATGATGAAGTTTCACGAATAAATTGTGTAAACATGTGGTAATCCTCTTCACTGAACCGCGAATTGGGAAATCCCCACTAATGTGAATACAAGTGACGGAGATAATAACCTCGTGTAGGTCAATAAATCTTTAACTTTCAATATTCATGTGACCAGTAAGGCAGGTAACTCGCGTGAGAAGGCTGTCCTAGTCTTCGTTACTACTCGTGAAGTTTGTGATTTATAATTACATTAATTTATAATTAATAATATTTATTTCGTTTATTTCAAGTTAGCCACAATTAAAACTTTGCGCACGACTATCTTGTGATTTATTATAGCCTGCAGTTGTTAAATTCTCAAGTTTTAGTTCGTTAGGAGATTGCATATATCTTACAGTTGTTAAATTCTCAACTTAGTTTTAGTTCGTTAGGAGATTGCAAAGATTGAAGCATAGGAAGATTAAGAAAGATTAAGGATTTTAAGCAGACATAATTACCTATGTCTCTTAACTGTTAGGGGCGATAATATTTCTTTCATTAGCTAAGAGTGTGGAGACCAGCCAACCGCTAGGTCCATGAAAGTTTTATATTTGTATTTGAATTATTATTCGACTTTATTGCAGGCTCTACAAGCTCCTGCGTGCCACGAGAATATGGTTAAAGTTGGAGGCTACATCCTGGGCGAGTTTGGTAATCTGATAGCAGGGGACAAGCGGTCCGCTCCTCAGGTCCAGTTCCAGCTTCTACACTCTAAGGTCAGTTTGCTCTTTCAATTTTCTGTGCCATGATAACTTTATAATTTGATTTCAACGTCTTTCTTGCACCCGAATAGAGTCTGGTGTGCTTAGCATGTTCTTGATATGTGGGTAAGTGAGGGGCTTCAATAAATTGTTATCTCTAATATTATATTTAACCTTACGACTTGATTTCGAAATGAAATTTTTAAATGTATAAAATGCTCTACTTATCTCATACACCTTCATTCATTACAGTACCACCTGTGTTCAGCGAGTACTCGTGCCCTGCTTCTCACAACCTACATTAAGTTCATCAATCTTTTCCCTGAGATCAAAACTGAAATTCAGAACATATTGAAGTGCGACTCTAACCTGCGCTGCTCCGACGCTGAACTGCAGCAGCGCGCCTCTGAATACTTGCATCTTAGTCTGGTCACTTCCACGGACGTCCTCGTGAGTACTTTCTCTGAACTGTTTGTGCTTTCCCTGAACTGTTTGTGCTTTCCCTGAACTGTTTGTGCTTTCCCTGAACTGTTTGTGATTTTCCTGAACTGTTTGTGCTTTCCCTGAACTGTTTGTGCTTTTCCTGAACTGTTTGTGGTTTTCCTTCTATATTATGTCACAATATTGTCTTATCATGCACTTGTATACCGTGCCACAATATTGTCCTATCATGCACTTGTATACCGTGCCACAATATTGTCCTATCATGCACTTGTATACCGTGCCACAATATTATATGCATATTATATATATGCATTACTATGCAGTGGCTTCATGTCTCAGATATTTGAACGCTACCAACTCGCATTTTTTGGTCGGCCGTTTTTATACTACCTATGGGTAAAAGCGCACTGTAGACCGAAGTTTAATAATCTCTTTTATTTAATTTGATGGTGACCCACGATTCCAAGCCATTCATGATGTTATTCTGGTGAAGTAATATGCACATTTTATGTTGCATCTCTAGTTACTTTAAAAATGCTGTCATAGCTTTCAACGCTGTGACTGAGACAACTCAGAACTGATCAAGAGATTAACACCTAACACTACAGTTGTGGCGAAAACTACATTTGTAAAATCAATTATTTGGCTAGTTTCGTCATTCATTTCCTAGTAAAGCTACCGCTCAACTATTATATAGGCTTAAATTGTTGGTAGGAATGTTCTTCCGTCACTCCTTCATCCAGAGTGTTACCGCGTCGTGAGTTTGAAAAGAGAACAATTTACTATAGTGATAAGCAAGATTTGTTAGCCGTGATTATGAGATATGTATAATATTGATAAGCAACATTTGTTAGCCGTGATTATGTATCATATTTATAAGGAACATTTGTTAGCCATGATTATGTATCATATTTATAAGGAACATTTGTTAGCCATGATTATGTATAATATTGATAAGGAACATTTGTTAGCCATGATTATGTATCATATTTACAAGGAACATTTGTTAGCCGTGATAATGTATAATATTGATAAGCAACATTTGTTATCCGTGATTGGTGTGTGCAGGCGACGGTGCTGGAGGAGATGCCGCCGTTTGCTGAGAAGGAGTCCTCCATCCTTGCAGTGCTGAAGAAGAAGAGCGGACGCATGAGTGCGCAGGAGGCGCATAAGGAGGCGCGTGCTGCTGGTGGTGCTGGTGGGGCCGCTGCTGCTGTTGCTGCAGGTCTGGTTTCTAATTTTCATTTTGTTGCTGTTGTTTCTGACTTGGGTTTAATTGAGTTTTATTTACATATAAATTAAATAAAGCCTTTTATAGTGCAATGCGTTTAAATTTTGGCCCCCTTCTGTTGAAGAAACCAGAGCTTCAGCAAAATAATGTCCAAACTTTGGTTTTAAAGGTGCTGTCAAAAACTCAACCAATGACAAGAACGCGAAGAACAGCAGCGCCGACCTGTTCGGTATAAGCACTCCTCCAGTGAACAGCCAGAACAACAGCAGCTCCAACACAGGTGAGACGTGATATTTGGATCTAACCTTGCAATCATTCCTGCAGTGGACAATCTGTTAGTATCTCGACTGCTGGGCGATTTTTTGATTTGTTATTAAATATATTCCGTGGATAATTTTTTTCTCTTGCTTATTTGCCGTTTTATGTTTAAGTTGACATTTTTTCCGTGTATTTTTTTAGGAGATTCGAAATATTTCGGATTCTACTACCGACGTACCTACTAAACTCTTTGTTATCGTACAAGCTGTTCACTTTTCCCATTACAAGCCAATAATTTCTTTTGAGATATACAATATTTTGTGGCATTGCCAACCTTTGAATATCCAGGATTCAAAGTCATCGGCCTTCTACCTTCACAAACTTATAATGATGCTTCATTACAAAATTAGCTAACTTCCATATTTTGGACTTGTATTCTAGATATGTAAATCTATATGAAAAATATTCAAACGAGTACGTATTCAATAGAAGTTATTGATTTTCTTTTTACAAAGTATCATTTTTTTAGAAATGTATATTAACGTAACATTGAATTTTGCACGATAAAAATGCCTCACGAGTTATCCACCGAGCAGGAGTGCTGGTAGACGTGCTCGGTGACCTGTACAGTAGCAGCAACAACAGCTCTATGCCGTCGGTAGCCACCAACGGTACTAACTCCGCTTCTCCCGCCACACTAACTTCTGGTGTCACCGACAATATCAAAAAGTCAGTGTCACAAACGTATACGAGTTTACGTAATAATCTTATCAGGTCTGAATCTTTATGTTGGTATTATTTCCATGCTAACTCTTTGTGCCGTAACGTCTTCAGGAGTTACCATTATTATGGCTTGGCAAATCGTTTGAGATCACTTTCTTCTTCTCATTTTAATTTGAATAATTTCATTGATTTATTGCAACGTCTTGAAGAACTGGTTTTGTAGTTTTGAGTATCTCATTCTTCTAGGCCTAAGCGTCAGAGGCATAATGAATCATAATGAATATTGATCTTTTTTGTTCAGGTTTGTTTGTAAGAACAACGGCGTTCTTTATGAAAATGACATCATCCAGATCGGCGTGAAGTCCGAGTTCAGACAGAACTTAGGCCGCATCGGCGTCTTCTATGGCAACAAAACTTCCATGCCTCTCCAGGTACGTAGGAGCCCTCTCGGGTGCATTTCTCGTCACAACACTTTTGTCTCTTGAATGTATTACTACAATTATGGTAGTGCTGAATTGATGCAAGTGTCTCTAAATACACTCGGCTTGATGGTTTCACCTGAAAATGTTTCCGTACAGTAGATATTGATTATAACGATTGATATTTATTTTTTAAGATTATTTGAAGATGTTGGGCTCAGTAAAGGTGGCACAGAGGTTCAAGTTGTTCCTAGAATCAGTAAACTTGTAAACTTGATAAATTTATTATTCTTTGGAAGTGATTATCAATTTTTTAGGCTTAATTCTCGTCAATGTAGAGGCTTGTAGTTCACAAAATTATAATTCGTTTGAAGTAAGATGTGTGCTATGCTCCGCAAGTAAGTAGCAGTTAGAATAAGAGAATGAGATTTTACTAATATGTACGGTATTCCATTGCCTGCTTTGCAACATTTGTATTTATTGTTATCCCAAATTAAAAAATTTATAATAACGTGACATCTTTCCCCATATATTTTCGGCACAGTTGGCCATTCCCAAACGCGTATTATTTTGCAGGGCTTCCTGCCGAGCGTGAGCATTAGCTCGGCTGACTCAGGTCGGGTGAGCGTACAAGTGAAGCCTGTCGAGAGCACCATAGAGGCGGGTGCTCAGGTGCAACAGTTCGTCAACTGCGAGTGTATCGATCACTTCGAGGGTAAGGCCACCTCATAATTCCTTCCTATTTTTGACATTCGTAACGAAGCTGAAAACTGTTTTCTGAAGCATTAGAGAACACGCTTTTACTAGGTATCTAATTCTTGTTTTAGACCTTCATATTCGCCTACAGTAGCCAGCTCATTCACAGCTTGCAATTTAATCTTTTACTGATTCCCTTGATATTAATTTCTCTTCAAATTATAATGCTGTAAAAGCCAGGTTTTTAAATGACTGAGGGTGAGGGACGCCCTAATTTCCGGTTTGGTTTGTTGTAGAAACTTCTGTTCTTCTTTTTTTTAGTCAGCCCTTTCTTTCTACTTCAAACATTTCAATAAAAAGCAAACAATTCTCTTCGATCATTTTAACTGTCATACTTCATCATTCTAACAAAATTAAACTATTAGGTTCTCAAGTGACTGGACCCTACACTCTTCCATAAGTGGGTGAAAAATTACGCATATTAGCACATGGTGTTTTTGCGCTAATTTTGTCATGTAATTTAATAATACCCACTGCTATGATATCATGTATTATATTAATTATATTAATATAATACATTACATACATTATTAATATTAATTGTTAATTATTATGTATTATATTGTAAAATTGGTAAGATATTCGGCATAACCGTATTTGCGTCACACGTTTTTTTTTTGTTTAAGAAACTCAGTCGTCGATCTGTATTAATTTTGTTGTGTGTGATTTGTTTTGTTTAAGAAACTCAGTCGGCGATCTGTATTAATTTCGTTGTGTGTGAGCAGATTTACCCGAGATGCTAGTGTGCTTCACGTACGGCTCCGTGCCACAGCGCTTGTCTCTCAAGCTGCCGCTCTCCATCAACAAATTCTTCGAGCCTACCGACATGAATGGCGAATCATTCTTTGCGCGATGGAAAAATCTCTCCAGGTGCAAATCTTTCTTTTATTCTTGCTACCAATGAGAGTTAATAACGATGTAGTTACTAAATTTATCTGCCATATTTTTATGTTGTATTGAGTTGTTAGATTATGATCATTGTCGGGGGTTGTATGTAAGTTTGAAAATAATTAATTTCATGAAAGAGCCCCTGTCACCTTAATATGTGCATTCATAAGAAACAATATGCTATTTAATATAGATAACGTGGTCATTTCCTGGGGTTTATTGAACAACTATAGATATGATGATAGAAATATAACAGAAAAGTCGGAGAGTCTGTTTTCCGAAAAAATGTTAACTGGGTGTAAATTTATGATCAATGATGTTTCCAAGCATCAAATACATAACTTTGGAAACAACAATTCTCACCGTAATTTATATCTAGATTCAGAAATGGTTTCGTCTGAATCCTGTTACCCCGGAAAGGTTTTCCTTTTTTGAATTTTGCTTTGTCAATACAGTAAAAAATATTGTTGATAGTGACTGAAAAAATTAATGCCCACTCCCTGGTGGGGCTGTGAAACTTACCTGAGAATCCTTGAACTTTCCAATACTTATGTTATTTCTCTATGTAGACTTCCTGGTAATTTGTCTACGAAATGTAATCAAGGCTGTACCGTTTCTCTCAGCCCATCTCAAGAGTCACAGCAGATTTTCAAGACGACCTGCCCCATGGAGTCAGGGAGCATCAGGACCAAAGTCATGGGCTTTGGCATGCAGATCCTGGAGGGCATCGACCCTAACCCCGAGAACTTCGTGTGCGCTGGCATCTTGCATACCCGCACGCAGCAGATCGGCTGCCTCATGAGACTCGAACCCAACCGACAGGCGCAGGTCCGTTCAATTCTTATTGAAATATTTATTAATCATTTATATGGTAATATATTTATTGTGGATTTTTTCTTGCTGATAACATGATTTTTGGAGAGCATTACGTAGAAAAATTGTTTTGTTTACATACTTTGGGCTTGCTTGCATACAAAATATAATGCGACTAGAAAGTTTGAAATGAAAAAATTCTTCAATATTGACAACCTGCCCCGTGCCCCTCTGAGAAACGGTAACACTTGGTCTCGTGTGTGAAGCGTAAGAATTAGTACAGTTTCCCTGAGCACACATTGTTCAGATCTACTAAATTCTGTTGAGCTGCCTTCATATTTATAGGAATATTTGCAGCTGATGCTGGATTCAATTGGCTTTACTTGGTAAACTTGGATCTCTTTTTGTAATCAATTGCTTACTCGCATTGCGTTATCCGACAATTGATATTTATGCATATGAAAGTGAGCCGTTTTGAGCTCGTCTCCTCTTCTTCACAAACGCTGGCGTCGATGTAAATCGTTACTGCTTTACTTTTATAAACTGATAGTAATACCACTGTTATAACTATGAGGATTCTTAGATTGACCGATGGGATGCTATCATGTCTTGCAAAAGTGTCGTTGCGCCTTCAAAGTTTCAATTATTGGATTGCAGATGTACCGACTAACGATCCGAGCGAGCAAGGACGGCACGGCCAAGATATTGTGCAACCTCCTGTCGCAGCAGTTCTAAGCTCATCTCATAACACTCGAGATGTGGAAGCTTCCTTCCCTCCATCTCATCGGCCCATTGTTTGGGTCAAGTCCTCCCGATAATATTGACGTCGCGCGATTCCTGTTGCAGTATGTGACATTTTCTCAGTATTTGTTGACCATGACGCATGTAACTGCACCTATGCCAATTGCCACGGTCGAGGATCCATCCATCCATGATTCAGCTGCAATACTCGTTTAGGCAATGACGTCTAATCCTCATCAACGGGACGTAATCGCTGCACAAACTGTATAAGACGTCCTGCCCGCTCTACTGATCCGTGATCAAGTTCACTTTAATAATAGGCAAGAAGTGACACCTTCATTTCCTTCGTTACTTGATAAGCAACTCTTATCAAGCTTACCCATCCCTCATGTTGTCGGCATTGTAAAAATGTGAGTTTAGTTCGAGGGTGCTGATGCTAAATATTAAGTGTGAGCTCCTGTATATTGGGACTAAGGTTTCTGTAGACCGAACTGCTTTCATGAGCCTCTTGTGTATTGCGGTAGTTTGCACTGCGCCAAAGCTTATCATTGCATTGAATAGGCATTTAGCGTTGTAGTGTCACCCTTCCCTGTGAAATATGCAGGCTGAGATAGCAAGAAATTTCTTGGTGCGGTATGATTCAGTTTCTATTTGAAATGTCGCTTGAAATTCTGACGTTAAAGAAATCTAGAATCTGGGTTTTGTTTAATCAAAAGTTGTACAGAGTTTGAGTTCATTATTTCGTTGTTCTCCCATAGCCTGCGGATGTTGTTGAAGAGAAATTATTTATTACTAAAATGCACTGTCTTTATTCATTTGAGACGTGCGTGTTTATTAAGTTTATATTTTGGATATCTCGATGTTAAGATTATCAGTCATTAGTCATCAAAATATCTGGTTTCTAACGACTTCCGTAAGCCTTTTGATTGCTATGTTGCTGTCAAGTTGAGACGCCTGTTTGTATGGCTGGTCAAATAAACTCCAGTATTTTGGCTCATCATGAATTTGGTTTCTCGTCGAGATTGCACCTACCGTAGTGTTTATGATAGTAAAGTGTTCATCGTTGTTGAGGATATGTGTGTCATGGAAGAGTTGTGTATCAATAACTTTAATCTCGACTGTTCTTGACTGGCTGAATTTTAACCATACAGTAATAGGTTAGTAGTTAATTGAGAGAATTAAAATGTATTTTGGTCTTCTACATGATCTAGAACGACACGTGTGAGGCACGCATGTGTTGTCGATCTATCTTCCAGGACCTCCGCTACTAGAGCGATATCTTTTGCATTGTCATAGATCACCTGGTAATTTTTTTATATTTTTTCTCTCACTGGCAACTGATTATTTTGAAATATTACCATGGCCAAGAAAAAGTCCCTACTCCAGCTGACTCGAGTAAATTTTTGACCCGAGGTTCTTTCGCAACTCCAACTAGGGTTCCAAACGCCCTAATGCTCAGTTGTTGCTTCATTCTAATATCTTCGCTTGGAGCCTATTTTTTGCATGAACAATATTTTTAGTCAAACATTTCATATCACATACGCAATCAAATCAGGAAACATTTTCTTTGCTGAATAATTCCACGTTGATTCATGAGAACGGTTGCGCTTCTCCATATACTTATCATTATTGTATTTGAAATGGGTGCTTGCAAGATATTTGATTTGTATTATGAGACTGTGAAGCAGTCGTTCAGGGACGATGTCATCTCGATCAAGCTTCTGCTTGTCAATTGCCAAAAGATCTCGTCCTCCTGAGGGAGAAATTTCAGAAAAAGTTGCGAGTTTCCCCTGAGATGCATGCCAATATTTCCCGAACATTTTTTCTACACTTCAAACTCATTTGTTTAGCGTTCAAGGCAGTGACGTAACTATTGCGTTTGAAGAGTTTTTGTTCGTAAGAAGTTGTCATTAGAGAGCTGTTTATAGAGTCCTTTTATTACTACCTAGCTCTAATGGATGTGAGTGAGCCCTGATGCTGATATGAACCATCGTTTATCCTAGTAATTAGCAAATCAATTACTAATAATATTTAAAACATACAATCTCGATTGTGTATCATAGATTTGTAAGAGGCGATCAAGCGAGCGTATGATGTGCGCTAGAGCTTATGTGCTCTGGCGTACATACCCTTTGGTCTGTCAGTCGTGTTGATGTTTGGCCTCTTCTTCTCTATGAATAATATGGTTGGCCGGTGGTAACTGGCCACTTTACATAGCTACGATTAATAGTATAAGATGTATCATAGTGACTAATTACTGAACTGTTGTTAATTGAACGTATTTTTTGAACCAGAGTTAATTACTTAGCGTTCTTTTGTTTTTATGGTCTAGATTGTTCATTACAATTTCACTTTGTTGTAATTTCTTCGTCTGTTCTGAGCATCCCTTGCCAGCTCAATGCTATGAACGCCACGATAGAGGGTGATGCCCAGCGCGACATGCTCTTACCCAAGCATTTGTAGGCATTACTCACACAAGGATGCTGGAGTTATTTGTTAAGTTACTCCCTCCCCTCCTTCTGCATGCAAGACTTCTTTTCTTCTCAATGCTAATTGGCTGAGCTTTTGAGCCAGTGTGCATGATGTTCTCGTTTTCCAAAAGCTGGAAATTTATTGTTTCTCTGTGGCCCTTATTTGTGCTACGTGCAAGCTACACACCACGAATGTATTTGAACGCAGTGTTTGAAGCGCATGTTTCTTTCATTTCACGTTCGTGCGAGCTCAAGAGATGATGGCTGGTGTTAATTTAATTCTTGTTCTTTCTGTTATTTTTAATTCTGCACATGTTGCGTGTAAATCGGGCGTGCTTCTTTGAATGGAGGTGTTCTATGTAGCTAGCCACTATTTTCCTTCTAGCTATTCAGCACACTTTCATGTATTAATGGACACAGTCAATGTTCAGTTGATAATGTATTTCTCGGGGGGTTGGAGGGTAGGATTTTAGTAGGTCAATTTTCTCTTGGTCGCGGTAGGAATGGTGTTACTTCCTGGGTAGGAACCGCTAGCATGCGTTCGGTTGCCCTCCAGTCGTTGAGAGTCTAGGAAATTGTTGTATAAATTCCGTTTTTTTTCGGGAGAACGGGAGTGAGGAGCATCTTTTACAGGACAATACTCAATATTGAGAATGAAAACTCACCGTGCAAGCTTTTTTCTATGCTACAGTATTCGTCATCTGCCGCCTGAATTGGTTGTTTATAATAACTCCTTGTCGCTCGTTTTTTGGAATTAATTTTACCTGTTGTATAAAGTTTCTTTTGAAAAATTGTGACGAAATATTATACTATTAAATTTTGCGTGTATTTGTAATATTATTCATTTACTGAATTATTTGTGAGATCCCTGGACTTGGCCTGAATCAATTGGCTTCAGTCTCGATCTGGAACTCCCCCAAACATTCCATCAGCATCGTCCAAATTTTCATCGAACGAACTTGTAATGTTAGGACTTCAATGGCCGTGTTCGGTTTCCTTGTTCAAGTTTATTTCAATTATCAAACTTGTAATGTTACAGCTTCACTGCCCTTGCTAGGAATTACTTGTTCAAGTTACTTTTTTTTGTGATGAGAGTTTTTTATGTCATCTTTATTGGTCGAGGTAAGTCATCCTGCCTATCGAATTTCAATGATCAGTTTACTTGTGCACTAAACCATTTGTTTAGTATCCGAGAAGCTGTCATGTTCATGCAAGATAAATACGTGTTTTATTTGCGTCTTTCATTATCTAACCACTTTCTGTTTCGTATCTACTGAGTTTGTGAGAGTGCGTTGCCCTCCTGATATTCATGCTATTGTTCCTATGTCCGGACACTGACAATAGTAGTCTTCAGCGGATGTGCCGTGCTCGTTACCTACGATAATTTCGGTTATATTTTTGCCTAAATTATGGCGTTGTGATCGTTTGTGAGCGATGACGTCTTCGATCAATTTGACTATATTTTGTATATGATGTCTTATTTTCTTGATTCTATAATCAGTGCATTATTATTTATTGGATCAAATTATTCAAGTACGTTTAGTATATAGTGCATTTGTTCTTGAATTCTTGTTTATCTGAGCTGAAATCTCCTCTGTATTTAAAGCGTACTTGTTGTCTATGGATATAAATTATTATGTTACGAAAGTGCGTTTCCTTATCTATGTTCTGTGCTGTATGTTTGTATGTGTACTTGGGTGATAGCGAACAAAGTCAGAGCGAGTCGTTCTTATTGGGCCACTCTGATTAATTGAGTAGATTTATTGAGTTCTGAAACAGACTGCTGAATTTTTATTCCGTTCTGAATGGCCGTGCGGTGATCTTGGTTGTGCTATGCAACTAAATGCTACTTCACGTTACTTTCATGCACTACTTCATTTCACTACTTATTTGCAGGATCTCTTTCGTCAGTCGATTTCATCAGCTGTTCAGGATGGACATCTTTCCCTTCCATAGTGCGAGTCGAGGTTATTTAAAAAATGACGGAGTGTAAATGTCATATAAAAGCAACTGACGAAAATTCATAGAAATATCTTTAGACATTTTCTACATTATGAAATTCAGTCAAGGCGTTAACGTAAATTCTTGTATGTGGTACTGCAGCAGGTAAATGCTGATAGTCGTGCAGTCGGCAATAATAAATTCGGGTTTGCCTGGTATTTCGATTTTGTCAGGCATTGAACATTGAACGACAGCGCGCGTAATTTGTCTTTACATAGCTTCTTGACTGTATTGCCGTTTCGGATTTTCACAAAATTTTCGCGAAGTTCACATGTGAACTCGTCAGATGACTACTGATGTACGATGTACTCAACTGCCCTTCTTCTGACATGACCGGAATGTCACTCCATTTACATTAACAATTCAGGCTCGTCAGTTGATTCCAGGCAGTTTACTGATGAATGATTTGTTGTATTCATCGATATTCTTGTAGGCACATGAACATTTAGTGTTCAATATTTCCGTCATATTCTTAGTCGTCAGTGTGTGTTGTATGGATGGTTTGTAATTGAGAATTATGCATGTAAATATTTAAAGTCTTTCTTCGGAAGACTGCAACCTAATCCGCATGGTTTTGATGAAATTTAGACAATTCTATACCATCTCGTAACGAACCAACCCTGGTCTAATAATTCAGTAATCAGAGAATGTTGTTATTTGTTCTGGCTTTTCTCAACCAAATTGATTATGATAGTAATTTTTTACCTTGAAAAAAAAAATTTAACTTGTTTAAATTCACGATGACTGTGACATGTTGGATATTTGGCGCGTTAAAGCTGCGTTTTTTCGTTGTAGTTACGAGAGACCATCAGCTGCCGAATACAATGCATGTTGATGTATTTCTTTTGTTCATAGCCATCGATGATTTGTTACTGCTCTTCGAAATACAAGTCAGTGTTATAACTATTATCGGTTGTTTCATTTTATTGATCGTGAGTGTCACTGATTTAGAATGAACAAGGCACTAACAAAGTCAGAGAACACGTTTCTGAATAATGAGGGCTAACCGAAGCTCAAATGCTGCACTTTACAGCTTCTTGAGTGACGAACATAAAGCAACGTCTAATTGCACAGCAAATAAATGCAATCAATGTATTACAGTGGCAAACAGCCGGAACTTGACTAATGTAAAGGTCCCGCTGTTCAGTGAATACTAATTTACTGGGGGAGAATCTCCACTAAGATTTCATTCATAGTGAAGATTGTAAAAGATAAGAGCAAAAAAGTTCTGGAAAGGGTCAAAAATTGAAATTTGGTTTGCAATTGGTGTGAATTTGATTTGAAAGACGCCAAACAGTGTGTACCAAGTTCTTGAGTGAGAGTAAAGTGGGAATTAAATCTTTTATTTAATTAAAATGTGTGTTTGGAGCGATATGTATTTCATTACAATACGTGAGCCTTATCATTATTAACGGGAGTAGGAAAAACAGGAGATTCTTTTTTTTAATGATTGTCGAATAATAGTCAACGTAAAAAGCGCGCCTGAACGGATATTTCTTCAATAGGCATATTCGTACATTAGCTTCATAATTATTATGCGCAGGATTCGTTATGACATTATCATAAAATTACAGAGGTAATAGATCCCTGAAATAATCAACTTGCCTGAAAGTTGTTAATAAATCTGATCTTAAGCAAGCAGAATTATTGCAAGCGCAATTAAAAACTGGGTTAAAATATAAATATATCGGTTCTACTTGGGGCATTCTTTGATAATTTCGCTGCTGCTCGAAGCAAATTAATTGATTTGTTAACCGCCTAAACCGTAATTTGGATTCAGCAACTGCTGCAAAAGGGCCTTTCGAAAGTCGAATTTCATTGCAACGGACGCTGAAATTTTACGGACGCTTAATTTATCTCGTTGAAATGAAGGAAGTACGAGGCTTTCCCTGAAGGAAGATGCTAGCTCCCAGCGTGGTGAAGTGTTGGGGAGTGATGAAGACTGAAGAGGAAGAAATTTGCCTGTTGGAGGCTACCCAGTTGCGAGCTCACAAGGAGTGTGTGACAGCCGAAGCAGTTGCTAGAACAGCTTTGCATGAACTTTCATGAACGTCTTAGAGCTACAGCAGTTTGGAGCAAATTATAAATTCGGCGTAATCATGTTGAACAGGTAGAATCGTTATCAAGTATTGTAATGGATGCCGTCGAACTGAACTTATCGTTACTACGGGAAGAAATTCTGCGTTCCGAGAGAGGCGAGGGCCAGCCGCAAAGGAAACGAGCTCGCATGTACGACACTGGCGAAGATAAGCCCGGTGAATCGGAAGACCAAGAGTCGCTTCATTTATGCAGGGGAGCGAGGTAGAGAAGAAATCAATCAGAGGCTAACATATCACGCGTTACTAAACAAAGAGCGGAAGATGGTTAGAGCAGGGTGGCCCAGTGGTTACAGTTCAGAGTATTAAGATTGGGGCAGAGAGGCGCGGGTTCGATCCCAGCTCTGTGTGCCAGTTTCTGGTCAGAATCGGCAAGGAGGCCGGGCGGTTAAGCACAGCAGAATTAATTGTAGCAGTGAGTTGCGAGTTCGAGTCCGCAACAAGCTGTGAATGTTCTGCTATGTTAAAAACCGGCGACAGGCCTACGGCCTAATAAACACTGAAACCGCTATTATTTAAGATCTATCAGCTACTCGAGCTGCATTAATCAGGGTTGTTGAAGCCGCTTTAAGCTACGATGACAGCCGTTGGGAACAGCTTTTACCTGAACTCAATGAACCAGTGCTGCAGGCTGAGTTGATAGAAATATTACTAGGAGAGTTACTGCGATACAGAAGACATCGTGTGGACGGACTGTCAAAATGAGGGTTCACTTCATCATCGCTCTAGCCATGAAAGGAATGCCTGTAGATTTTGGAACAGAAATATTTTATCTGAAACCTAACCTCAGATGCTAAACCCAGGAGTATACTCGATTCATGGTCTGGTGGTGCACGGCAGGTTTCATGCAGTTCCCCTGACGAGCTGAGCTGATTGATGGCATCCTGTTGTCCGCTGGGTACAGTTTGAGCTATTGTCAGGGTATGAAGTGATGTTTCGGTGTAATGTTCAGTGGTGGACAAGAATTACGTTCTATGCATGTCACTCCCGTATATGGTGGTATAAAGACCTTAATATTCAAAATAAGATGATGTCATGAGCTGTTTACTGACGGGAGGATTAATCCTCGGCTGATTGGTGGTCTTACTAGAATATGCTAGGCGTTTCATTCAGGGCTGATTGGTGCACGAAATTGGTAATGCACGGCTGCACTCCTGCATGAAACCGCACGGCAGTAGTGATTTTTGATTACTCATTAGTGATGCTTCATTGAATTAACTCAATAGAAAAAATTTCAGCGCAAATAATGTCCAAATTTACAACGAAAATTCAAGCTAATGGACTAATAGAATCCATTTCCAAGTGCGGACTCGGAGAAGTCAAGAAGGAATTTCTAAAAAAGGCGACACATTTTATAAAAATAAAATTTTACGAGTGCTGGATCTACGTTTAATAAATTGGTCCCTCCAATAAGAATTTGGCATCACTCCTCTTAACAAAGTGAGATAGGCGAAAACAAAAAGCTCGAAATCACTTGTTTATTTCACAGATTTTTTGGTCACATCTTGTCTGTGACGGAGGGCCGACCTTTCCCTGTTAACATGCTGCGTCTGTGTTAATTCTCTCGCTAGTCGCTGAGCTTCCTCGCTGTTTTGCTGTAAAATACAGCGT